CATATACATATACATATACATATACATATACATATACATATACATATACATATACATATACATATACATATACATATACATATACATATAGCTGATAAAGGAGGAGAGCCTGTGGCTTAGTGGCTAATACAACTGCCTAATATGTAATACAGCAGTAAGGGTATGGCTAGCTGATAAGAGCTAAATAGCTTGAAATAGATCTATACTAGTCTCCCTTTATTTATTTATCAGCACAAATGATATATATATATATATATAAATACTGGGGAAAGGCATCAGGTATTTCATAGCCTTATCACACAGAATGGAGCTAGGCAGCCCTGGAGCCTGTGAGACTGGAGAATAAGCAAGTGGCAGCTAGTCAAGGAATTAGATTGAATGCATTAGGTAAAAATGATGAAGGCAGGGGGGGCGGCCAAGTAAGATCAGCCCATCTGCTGTTCCTAGTGGGTGCAGCCTTCTCTTCAGTGGCAAAAAACTTAACATTTTTTAAAAATTGAAGTTTACTCCTTCATAGTTTTAAAGAAAATGCTGTTGGTTCCCAAGCATGTAGGATTTTGTAGAATTTAGTTTCATCAACACCCCTGAATCTTTCAGGACTTATATCATAAGCCTCTTTCCTTCATTTTTCTTTAAAAACAAAAAATACTTATACATTCATAAAATATGAATTATAAAAGTTGGATACATTCAAATTTGCTTCATTTTCCATGTAAGATATCTCGAAATACATAGTTTTTCCAGCTACATTTTTTCTGGGATAAAGATTATACCTGTTTTTGTTACTATGACCTAATGCAGGGGTGTCCAACTCACGTCATTGTATCACGTGAAGTATCAGGACTTTCCCCCCCTTTGCTAAATCAGTTGTGGGCGTGGCCAGCGCATGATGCATCCAGCCCATGCGCTGGGAGTTTGACAGCCTGACCTAATACATACTTTTTTTTAATTAATGACTACCATGCAGTCAATTATTGATATGACAGTGTCAAAAAACTTTACATTATTATTTTTGGACTCTTATGTGCATTCTTAAAATTTGTTTATTATACATTCTCTGTCCTTTCAGAACTCACTGAAGAGAAGAGGAAGCAGGGATATTCATAAAGAAAAGAAGGCATTTGCTCAGGTATTGTTCCCAATAATATATGTCAATGGTAAAACAATGTTATTTGAAGTAACCTTTAGTAATCAGAGACAAATAATACATTTTCAGAATAATATTTTTATGTGAAATGTTTATCTTAAAAAATCTTTTACATTTTTGATCTGATAACGCTTTTTGTAGATAAATGCTTTAAAAAAAACAAAAAAACAAAAACAACAACCTTGTGTCAGAATATTTGGAGCAAAGCTTAGTCCTTGGTGTCAGGGTTATGTGCTAATGATTATTTTAACACCAAATGTAGTTAACACATTAAAAAACACGCATAGTGTATCATTCTTTTAGAGCCTATAGAATTTTTTCCCACAGGAAAATACTTGTGATATCAGAGAAATGAGTTTCTCTTGTTCAAGTGGAAAACTGAGGCCATCCACGTTGACCTACTTGGAATTAGGTTTTAAGTTTCTGAAGCCTGATTTCTTTCTTTCTTCAACTAAATATAAAGCAATTGTAATTTTTTCCTCCTTACTCAGTTTTCATAGTAATACTGTTAAATAGCTGGGACTTAAGGACTGGGTTTCTACTTGTTGAGGAAAAAATCATTGCAGCTTCCTGGAAAGTTTTTATTCCTTAACAGTAAAATAATTTATGTGGACTTGCACTACCAGCTGGAAACATTCTTACTCATACATTCCATTGAACAGCATTGTTGAACTATATTGCCAAGATATACAACCAGTATACAGTGCTGTAATATTTTAAATGGATTACCATACCATGACATACATACACCATGAGACTTCATGAGAATTGATCAACTAGTGTATATAAGGGAGAGGATGCATAAATTTGTACTTCGTAGCAATTGTTTTTTCCCCCTTTTGTAATTTTATAAATCTTGATACATTGTATAATTTCAATACTGATTTCAATGCAACAATACTTGTATATAAATTTTAAACCATCAACATTATATTCTTTAAAAAAGTTAAAGTACTGAAAATAAGGGAAAAATAATAAATATCCATCCATATAATTTTAGGATAGTAATATTGCAAACGAAAAAATATTTAACTTTTCATCCAACATTGAGTTTAAGATAAAGGACCATTGCATATCATATCAGAATAATAATTATGTGACAAAAAGTTTGGTCTGAAACTAAGATCTCCATGTATTATTTGTGACTATGTGTGTATGTTGATTTAACACTTAATAAAAGTTAAATTTCCTGAAAAATAAAAAAGTGTATGATCACCGAACCGGTTGTTAAACCAGTAGGATCCCACCACTGAGGAGAGGCGTACTACCATCTCTTTCAAAGTCAGAAAGACTTTGTTTCCTCTAATTGATCCCTTTAATCCAGGCATGCCCCCCCACATTCTGAAGAAGCATGGGTTGTGGCTCATATGTGGAGAAGTTCATTCTGCCTGGTACCAAATGTGGCCTGGTACCACATTTACTTACAGGATAGAATGAGTTCCAGATCACATCACAAGACTCTCCCTCTGCCAACTCTATTGTTCCTGCCCCACAAGGAGTTAAAACTTGAGTGAGTTTATTGGCAAATGTTACCTGAAACCCTCACTTCAGCCTGGTGTAGCTCTTGCTGAGTCTCAGTCCTCAAATGAAAGTGAGTCATCCTAAATAGGTCTGCTGGGACATGATCCATTGATGCAATAATGATGGAAAAGTAATAAGAGTTTGCAACCCTTATCAGTGCTGTTCTTTGTACATGAATATACTGCTACTATGTTAAGTTTGCTGTGCAATTCAGCATTGTACTAGATCTACTACAAGAACATGTAGGACAGAGGAAACAGCACAGCAGCAATCCAGGGCTGGAAGGGACCTCAGAGGTCATCTAATCCAACCCCCCGCTCCATCAGAAGACCTTATATCATCTGGATTATATCAGATCTCTCCTTCTAAGGCTAGGATACCCACCCAAAACAGAAATAGAACTGCACTCTTTATGAATTTAGTTTTATTAAAAAAAAAGTTTCTGTTCAGCAGAGTTGCAGAATGGAACTTCTTGGAAAATGCCAAGCAGCGGTCAGAACACAAAGAAAACTGTTTCTTCAGCATAAGGTAGGAATGTTGGCATTGGCCCAGTTTCCTGGGCAACAGCTATGCTGCTATTTCATTTTGCTGACATTCCAGTAAGTGCATTCTGGCTGGCAAAAAACCATTGAGGAGATGGTAATGGGATATTATTTATTTTTGTTTGTATTACCCAGCTAATCAAATATATAAAATATATACATATTTTATGTATGGGATTGTGATTAAGTTTCAGCCTCATCACAGCTTTAGCACTGCAATCCTAATTTGTTCGTATTGAGTGTTTCTCATCATGTGTGCATCTAATATATATTTCAAGCTATTTGGTAGTCAAGCTGTTTCCATGAACCTGCACTTTTCCGATACTGGTGTCTGAGTAGAACGTCCTGTTTTGAGAGCCCTTTGTGTAGTAAGGCAGAAATAATTCAATACATTTTATACATATGCATCCATACACTAAAATAATTGTTTATATGAGCAGACAAACCTATATATAAACCTATATATAAATAAGGGCATAGGGCTGATTGCTCTGCCACCCTCTGTTATGATGGTGATTCAATCATATTGACAGAACTATTTTTTTCAGATAATCTCCCCTTGAAATTGGAGGATCACATTAGATTCATTAAGAATATGACTTTTTTCTGGCTCATGTTTAAGATAGCTCATCTTAAAATTTAAGCTTATATAATTCTGTCATGAAAATGAAATAATAGAAGAAAAGATTACAGTTAGTCCTTGACTTATAACCACAACTGAGCCCAAAATTTCTGTTGCTAAGCAAGATAGTTGTTAAATGAGTTTGCCTCATTTTACAACTTTTCTTGCCACAGTTGTCAAGTGAATCACTGCAGTTGTTAAGTTAGTAACATGGTTGTTAAATGCTTTCCCGTTGACTTTGCCTATCAGATTTCAGACTTGTAACAAATAAGCTCACCTGAATTCCAATGCATGGAGCTTTCATTTGCATCAGTTTGTTATTCTCATGCTGTGTAACATTTAATAGTCTTTCTTCCTACCATGCAAACCTATTTAGCATGCAGTTTGACAATTATTGTATGCTTATGTAATGTTTATTTCTGTATCTACACCATACAGAAGGCTAGGGGCATGAAAAGATGGGAAATTAAACTTACCTAGATTTAACGTAAGCTATCAATAGCATTCACATTTGTTGTAATTAAAATGTTTGCTGTGAATTTGTTTCAAATCTGTTTACAAATGTTAGTTGTGTTTTTGCTCTTTGCCTCTCTGTCTCTCAGGTATTGACAGACAAGCACAAATTAAGAAATGCCAAAATTGTTTTTAGACTGTCATCTTACGCATGGTTATATGAAAATAAAGCTTATTGAATCCAGAGACATTTTTCTAAATAGACAAATATAATTTTATGTGCTATAAATAGACATATAAACTTGGAATTGGATTTGGAATGTCATTTACATAAGCTCAGTGATGTCTGTTGGAGGAGTCAAACCAGTCAATCTCACAAAATCATGATTGTCTCACCTCCATATTTACATATATTGAAACATTGCATGCACACTTTAATACAGTTGTATCTGTCCGCCCCGTGCCAACTCAATGAAGCGGTGGACGCGATGAACCGGGGCCTCGAGGCTGTTAA